GAAACTGGCCTTTCTGGCTGAGTAAGTCAGCTAGCGTCCGGTGCTTAGAACGGTACTCTCTGTATTTGGATGTCATTTTCTTAAAAATGATCGTCCTCCACTCTTCCCGCCAATCCCGCTCAATCCCCATGATAAGGGTCTGGCATGCAAAAAAAAAATAGGAGGTCAGTGGAAGCAAGTTTCACATATGAAATGAACTTAACCTAACACGGGAAAAGCAAACTTACTCGCAAGGCCATGCCTGATATACCCAATGACAGATCCGCATCTTTCAGCGTTTGTAGCGTCCTATTCTCAGAATTCGTGCACAGGGGAGCGAAGGCCGGCACCGCCCGTTCTGAGTTGTCCAGAAGGTCGTAATCTACGGGGATGACTATGTGCCGATCAGGTTCCTCCATCCTTATCTCCACTCGGGTAAACCTATCCTCAAAAGCCCGCACTTCCTCATGGTCGACGTCAGAACCCGACCCATCATCTTCTACGAGAATGGTTTTATCCCTTCCGTCCGCTGAAGATGAGCCGACTCCGACTATTCGAGCAGGCTCCCTCCTGTCATAGGTCACCTCGGCCGCTGACGATCTTTCCTCCTCAACCATGGATTCCTCTTTGCCGGGAGGAATGGCCACCGATAAAGGAGTGGCATCGGAGACTCCGTCGTGAATATGAGGGGAATTTGATATATTTCTGTAGTAAAGTGTGTACAGCAAATTCAGAGAAAGAAGATATCAACCGGGATAGAAATCAGGGAGTGGAATTGAAGAAGTTGCAAGAAACCGGAAGTGGAGATCAGAGAAGAAGATCAAAGAAGAACAATATGCATACAAAATGGGAAATGCTGAAAGTTTTGAAAACGAAGCCCCTCTCCTCTATTTATAGGGTTGGGTGACACCAGAATCGAGGCAAAGAGCCGTCAATGGCACCAAAATCGAAGCGATAGAAGCACAGACACTGCATTGGGAAGACGTGTAATGATGATGCGCGTGGCCATGATGTTATCCTACGTCAGCCACACAAATCGCAGCCCCGCTGGCAACGTCGCCAGTTCGACCTCGGCCGACTCGATTCAATCATCACGACCAAATTTCCTCTGAACGGTTGCAGATAGAATCCGCTCATCGAGGACGTCCAAGATCACAACCTCAACAAGCGGAGGGACTAACTGTATTGGACAAAATTTGGACTGGACTTAATAACTGCAAATGGATAAGGTCGAGGATTAAGCTGACCACGACACGATGGCGAGGAGTCGTCTTAAGAAGGATTAGTGCTGAGGTCAAGTAAAGAATGTACGGAAGAAACGGTAGAATAAGTTTAGAATATAAAGACGAAATATTCCATTGGATATTCTTTCAGTTGTACGTTTTAGGGTTTCTTAGGAAGAGATAAAGAACAAAAAAGGGGGATCTTAACTTTTGGGATAAGAACACATTGTAAAGGTTGACTACAGAGAATATACAAAGCTTGTCTTGTCCACTGATTCCATTATTCAACATATATCGTTTACTCACAAGATCAAAGGATCTCTGGTCCACCTTCATTTTATATTGTCCCCACGTTGTTGTCAGGAAGGAGAATCATACAAGTCATCTAACATTTGGGTGACAAGTTCCTTCTTATTACATTTATTGTCATTATCTACATTCATTGCAAAATTTCTTTATTGCATTCATTGAGCACTCCTAATCGGCATTCAATATTAGACATGATCCTACATCGTTAATGCATTAAGTCTTCAGATCTAGTAGTTATTATATTTAACTAGGATTCACCCCCTATTTTCTTATTAATTTGTTTTAAGAAAGGCTTAACACTTTTTTGGTAAACTATGGACCACATTGGATCTTATGCAGTGGCGATCCAAAATTTTAGATTCGTGGGTGCTTAACTTTTTGACGTGAAGTTATTACCAATCACATTGTATAAGTGCATCAGTGGCGGATCTAGAGGGCAACGTGCGGGTTCCCAGGAACCTGGTAGCTTTTGCACCGTGCTTGTATATGTATTAAAAAATTCATTAAATATCTATAAATATTTGATAACCTAGTTGCTAACTTGAGATCGTTATAGAAACCCATAAACTTCAAAGTCTGAATCCACCTCTGAAGTGCAAAACTATTTGAACATGATGATTAAAAAAGTTAATGAGAAAACTTATAATATTAATATTATGGACGCCATAAAAGTGTGATGGATAATGCAAGTGACGAGAAAAAAGATTGATGGGTTTGTCGATTGGGGAGGAATTGCTCGTCTTCAAGAGGGTCAAATTTTGAAGTCTTTTTCTTTCTTTCTTTATCGAATTAGATTTAACAAAAAAAAAAGATAAAACAAAGTCAGCAAAAAAGAATATTAAAAAGTAGTATTGGGTTAAAAAAAAGAGTAGCTAGTGAAAACTGGAAAGAGCAAAAAGAAGAAAGTAACTTGTTGATAATATAAGAAAAAAAGAAGAAATAATTTGCCTACGAAGAAAGGCTTGATGGGAGTTAGATTCGAACTCCCACCCCTCAACTTTCATAAACCTCCAACGCCCTTCCTTAACTAGAGCACCCATCAGATTTTTTGTCTCCTTGGTGCTTGCTGGTATAATATACTCGTTTCCTCAAATTTTCTATATAACTATATACACTCTAGGTTGAGGTTAATGGCTGCTCGAGCACCCAAATTTAATGTGTATTTCCTCCCCTGATCTTATGCATACAGTCTTACCTTGTATTTATGTGGCTCCCGATCATAGGACAACTCCATTGCACCGGCTCCCTTCAAATATAAATAACCTAATGTTATTTAAAACAATTGAACTATATTTTAGCTTGAGTTGAAAAATAGATCAGGGCAATCTTAAATTAGTAGGAGTAGGAGTAAGAATATTTATAACATCATTGTAAAAGTTAAATACTTTCATCAATAGTTGCATTAAGGAGCAGAGACGTACATGTGTTGAGGGCCTGAGGGGCGCAGACTTATGCATGTGAAGTTGGGCATGACCCCCATCATTAAGGAAAGAGTTTAGGTCCCATCTATTGTTTGCAACTAGAAAGACGAATCAAAATTATAAAATCTCCTTTTCACCATTCACTTTTGCTGATTTCATTTATTTCTCTTTTCTATCTTTTTGTTTTTGTTTACTTGTTTCCTTTAACATATCTTGCATGGCTTCGATTGGATTCAGTTTCTTTAAGAGAAAAAGTGCATAAAAGTGAGTACTCGATAAAGCAAGACAATCTAAGGTTGCAAAGAAAAGATAGGAATCTCTGCCCACTAGGCAAAGTTGCAAAATAGAGTTTTTGGTCAGCCCACGATTCCTTATCGTTCGCTCAAATTTTATAGACATAATAATCCTTTTCCTTTTTTTGAAAAGTTTTAAATTACTTGTCACCATTTCTTTAATAGTATAAAATTAAAATACTCCATCTGTATATGAGAGCTAAATGCAATAATATTGAAATAAAACTTCTAATAGAAGAAAATATATTTAAATTACTTGTCACCATTTCAACATTATTTTTGCGTGAAAAAATAACATGGACGAGGGGCACACGAAACATGAGGATTTGGTGGCAGGTATAAGGAAAGTAACATAAAAAATTATATTCATAAAAATATTTTCTACCATCTAACCAAATACTATAAAATATTTTCGAAAAAAGTTTTCCACTCACCAACCAAACAAGAAAAAATAAGTGATAAAATCACTTACTTGCCAAGAAAATATTTTCCATGTAGAACATTTTCCTTCATATCAAACACACCCGTAATCTCTATTCATTTTCGTCCTCTAATGAAGACGCTAATCTTCCTTCTTTGTCATATAAGCAGTTCCTTTCGGTGATTCTTAATATTAATTTCTTTTCAATTCCTAATTTTCCTTAATTTTAATCTTAATAATGTAAAGGAAGATGCGTGAGCTTTTGCAAACGGCTGTTGAAAATACAAGTGATAGCCTTCTCAAAATTTTCTAATAAACAATTTGACAGAATAGCAATGGTTTAATACAGCTATATAAGTGGTATATAGTTGAGGAAATAAATAGGGGAGCTGACTATCAACTTCCCAAAAAGAGAGGCTCCGGTCACATGACATTTAAAAACTCCACAGATAAGAATACAAAAAACCAGGTTGTCCATTTTAAATATCTTTTCGACCAAATACTTATCTCCCTGTCTGGTACTCCAATGCTTTCTTCTTGTGAATCTTTTAAAACTTTTTTTTTTTTTTTTTTTGCTTTATTGTACTTTGAGTGCTTGTATTTAGGAGTGCAATTGGATTATCTTCCTACATATAGTACAGATAAATCATGGTAGTCACGTGGCTGTCCAGATTGCCACCATCAAGATTAGCAGTTCAAAGCCACAAATTATAGTACAATTATTACTGCTTGAAATTTTGGTTTAGGTTGTCCATCTAGATTCAGTCAAATGTTTTTTGGTCATTCAATTATGAGTCTTTGTTTCATGACCATTATGTGGAACTACTTAATGAATAGCAAGAATGCACGATCTCTCCATATGATATAAGATTGCATATCTTAAAGATTGAGATTACTACTTGTTTGGACCTGCTGTTTTGTTTTTTGTCTATTTTTTATTTTGCTAACCAGAAGGACATTTCTTGGAAGAACTGAACTAAGAAGCCTAAAACTGCAAGTACAACCATGCATATTGTGCAGTAAAAAATTTATAATTAAGCATTTCACCAAAAAAGAACAGAGGGAAAAAACAATAACGAAGGAGGGTCACATCTTATCAGATAATAGGAAAAAAACATTCATATAAAACCTGTCCTCAGTTCTCATTGTCACCTCCCCAACAAATCGATGTTAACAGACTACAGACGCCATTAACAATTGGGCCAGTTGAACTAAAGCCATTTAAAAGAATATCTGTTGTCTTCTCATTAATGTATTACTTCAATTATTCATTTTTTCCAGACTTGGAAATTAAAGAATGGCCATCTAGTTATGGATGAATCATAAAATACACAAAATGAAAAGAGCAAAGATCCAACTAATTAGTACTCCTATTAGGAACTAAACTGCTCGTGCAAGACCAAAATTGATACAGTAATTTCAACTACTTAAAAAATTTACTGATGAAATTTTAAAGAAAATGTACAAAGCTAGACTAGACACAGTGCTAGACTATGGTAACCAATAGGACAAACCACAGCATATCCTTTCCGGTTGGCTCAGAACCCGACCCCAGCCGCCCCGACCCCGAACGTTGCGGGTCGATGAGGCTCAATCTTTCTATTCTTCCAAAAACAAGTATCCGGCGCCAGCTTAGCCGCCGCCGTCCTCATCGGCTCAGACTTGCACCTTGTTAACACAAACGGCTCGTAAGCCACTGCATTCACAAGCTTCTGCTCGATCATGGTTGCCATGGACATCCCCGTCGCCGCCGGTAAAGAACACGACGACCTAGGTGGTTGTAACATGTGTTTGTTCCTATGTTCCGTACTAGGTTTAGTGTCAGTACTCCGCCGCATTTTGGGTTGTTCTTCAGGAACAATAACCTCTTTCTTTGGTGGTTTGACTTGTTGTTTCCTCTCTGGTAACCATCTGAGAAAGTCCCTTCGACAGACCCATGTTTCTTTTGATACCTCCATTGATAGCTTGGGTTCACACATCATTAGTAGCAAACACTCCGGCAAAACTGATTCTTTTTCTTCGTTTTGAGCCTCTTTGGTGTATTCAACTTCGACTTGCTTCCCTGGTTCTGTAAATGGTGTATTTTCTGCTTGTTCTTGTTCTTCATATTCAGATTCTTGTTGAGTTACTGTTGGCTTCTCCTCTATGTCTCTCAGCAGGAGTATGTCTTGAATTTCTTTTGCGATGGCTGACTTAAATTTTTCTTCTTCTTCTTCCAATGTAGCTTGTTCACTTTCTGTTTTATCCTCTAATTCACTAGTATCAGAGATCATTTCTGTTACTCCTTCTTCCTCAAGGAGCTGTTGAATTTGGATATCTTCTTGATTGAATTCAGTTGTTTGATCTACCAGTTGGGCTAATTGTTCAAGCTGGGAATCAACTTCTGCTACAAAAGACTCAATTTTGGTCTCTTCTTGCTCAATTTCTGCTGTTAATTCACAAGTTTCTAGCTTTGTTTCAAGCATTTCCTGCTCCCTGCTTTCTTCTTCCATTTCCATAATAACCTCTGCTTCTTCTGGATTAATCTCTTCTATTTCATCAAGATCTACTGAAACTCTGTGTTCAGATGGTATAACCTCATTACTAGTTTCACATTTCTGACTATCTACTAGTTCCATATGCTTATATTCTCTCAAATTTTCTTCCTTGTCTAGTTCTCCCACTTCTTCCACTTGTTCCTCATCATAATATTCATCTTCTGGAACAGGTGATGACTCCCTGAAGCGATTGGTAAGAGCTGCCATTTTCATAGGATCAGATCTGCATCTCATAAGAAGCAAAGCATTCTTGGGCGGAATACAAATACTAACTCTACCTTTCTCTTCATTATGTCCCCTCTCCATTTCAACAATATTCTCATCCTTGAACTCAATATCTTCAAACACATGTCTTCTTGAACTCCTCATTGTACTACTATGCCTCCCCTCTGTTGTTCTTTCCTCTTCACCACTTGCCACTACCAACTCAATATCCCTCCTTTTTCCTCCTTCCCCATCTTGCAATGCCACTAACCATCTAGCAAACACAGCACCACATGATCTGTGCTCATTATCACCTTCCCTGTAAGCTTCAACTTTTTCTTCCTTTTCTCTTTCATTAGTCGAAAAACACGACGAACGACATGGGAACAAACAGCTGAACTCCGCCCCAAAAGCCCTTAAAGCTTCACAAATTGTTATAGGCAAATGAACCCATCTTTGATTTCTATGATTAACGCATTCTTGTTGGTGGTAATGCGCGCTTGAGTTCCCTTGCGAGTACCTCTGATTCTTTAACGATAATCTATCATCTGTTTGATTAAATGCCTCAGAGGCTTGCTCTAGTTTTCTAAAACTCACCTCACCGCTTGCGCTTCGTCTTTTGGACAAGCTACGTGATTGTTTCACCTTTTTCTTGGTCTTCACTCGAACCTGACCAATACAAGTGACTTTTGGGGAAGAAGGCTCCGGGTTTTCGAAACCCGACCCGCGTTTCTTACCGGTGGTGGGAAACATAGGAGAAGCTTGGCCACCTTTAATGCTACCGTTTGATTTAAGTCTACGGCTGAGGGAAGTGGAAAGTGAGAGAGGCGTGTCACGTGCACGACCAGGACTGAGAATAGATTTGGAGAGTTTCATGGAAGAAGATGAAGAAGAAAGGCGAGAAGTGAAACAGATATAGAGCTCACTTGTTGTACTACTGCTACTTGTTGTTGTAGCGGCTGTGCGGTGATGGGGTCGGTCTAAGTCCATTAAGCCCTAAAAAATGACAGTGGTAATGTATGATATTTTGCTTTCATCAGTACATTGTAATGGCCATGGACAGTAGTGGACACAGGCGCAGAAATTGAAGAGAAGAGAGAAAGAGTGGGTCCTTAGCAGAAGAGGGCAGGGTACGTGTGGGCGGATGGCTTCCGCTCTCTTTACCCTTGGCTTTTTATGGTACCTCTAATCAAATTTTCGATTTATATCCATTAATAGAGCAAAAGTAGTTATGCCATTACAACAAAGTTAAATGCATATTTATCTCCTATGCCCCTGAATGTTGTGTGCCTCGGACTGCCCTTTGCCTTCTGTTTATATCGTAGTAATAAAATATGAGTTGATAATTTGAAGAAAACAAAAATAACTCATAAGGATGATTAAAAAACTGAGCAGAGTGAAATTTTTTACACCGTGATTAATTCTAAAAAACATTGATGGATACCAGATTAAATTTACAAAATTAGATATCTCAACCATCAATTTTGATCATCACTGCCATTCCAAACCAGTTCCTTTATCTGGTGAGGCTATAATCCACGTAACTATAAAAACCCAATTTGTCGTTGAATTTGTGTCAGAATTTAAGGTTGGGGACTTAATTTAGAGACTACTATTTTCTCCCTTATTTTCCTCTTAGGTAATTATGTCTTTGTTTACCCTCCAAATCGGATAACAATTAAATTTATAAGTGGTTTTAATGATACGTGGATTAATTTGACACAAAGCGATAAATTAAGTTATAAATAAAGCGAACAATAATAAATTAAATTCAAACCGTATGATTGAACAGTTATAGCCTTGAAAAGTAAGTCTCGCTTGAACTGAATACGATTCAAATGATATTTGATATAGAAGAACAGTAGCTTGCAGAAAGAAAATGATATATTATAATACTTTGGGATACGTGTTATAATGTGTTTTACAAATAATCAGACTCCCCTTTATATACTAGGAGAATCCTACTTTAGGTTCAATTCTATAAAAGGTAAAAAATCTCATGATTTGTTAATTAACCGATCTCTCATTGATATATCCTGAGATTCCCGCCGTGATATCCGACCAGTTACGGATATTTCGGCCTTCTGTTATTTGGTCCGACAATGTTTCCTCGAGCTCATTCAGAGACGGGGTCAATTCCGGGGCCATGGACTCGCTGATCTTGAAGACGGGTGTTCTAACCTCGTACGCTGGTTCGATGGAACCCTGGGTCGATCTTTAATCCATTATGTTTTAGTCCCGATCTGTCATGCAATAGACGAGTCCGATTTCGACTCGTATACAGATAGTCCCCTCGTTCTTCGGAGTGTAAACGACGAGAAACGATATGAGCCCCTGATCCTCGTCTCGATACTTTGTGTCAGAAGCGACAAAATGGACGAAACGTCTCGTCAGTCACGTCTTAATGGTATTAAATGTTCGTTAGTTGTTGGTCGGCCACTACAGGCTTTGAACCGTTGTTTGAAAACTATAAGTATCTCCTCCTTCAGTCATTCAAACTTTACATCCAATATGTTCCTACTCTTGTTCTTAAAAAAATCTTTGCATTTTCTAGCACTTGTATCGGATTTCTTGAGAGTTTTGTAAGAATCCTCGCTTGTTGAACCGTTAAGCGTACTCCTTTATCTCCTTCTTCTTCATTTTTATCCAAAAGAAAAAAATGGCGAAGACTTCTAAGACAGTCCCTCAAAAAGAAACTACTTCTTCATCACGGCCTTCCGGCGAGGAACCGGCGGCGGAACCTCCTCTTGAAACGTTTATTCCTGGCGGGTGCTCGGTGACCGCCGACTTTAAAGTTGAAAAACCTTCACCCGTTTTGGGCCGGGGTGAAAAGGTATCGAGATATATTTGCTCGATCACCGAAGAGACCCTCCCTACAGTCATAAAGGATTGCAACTAGGCCAGAAAAGACGTGGTGATCCCCGGCCCCGAAGAAGATATCACTACCTACGTCAAGGGACACTTAACTGTTTACACTTGTTCCTTTACGCTGGGTCCGTTGGACCCGGTGATCATCCAATTCTGTAAAAGGTAAGAGGTGTGCCTTGGCAGATCCACCCTTCGTTCTGGAGGATAGTAATTCTTCTTCGTTTTTCCTTGAGCAAGATTGACGGATGCTCATTCACCGTCGACCATCTGATCTGCCTGTACAGTCCCCGATTCTTCCGGAGGGACTGATTAAACTTGCGCACCGGGCCTCTAAAGCCCCATTCTCGAGCATCGATGAAGATCGAGACCAAGGCTGGCTAGGACGATTTGTCCGAGTAAGGACCTCGGACCTAATCTCGGCCAAGGACATGCCGTTCCTCGAGGAGTGGAACACAAAACGTAAGTAAAGTTTCATTTTTCCCAGAATTTTATTCTTACTCTCTTTTTCTCCTTTCTTGTCGATGTTCAGTGTCGATGCAGCTATTGCTCGGGTTCCAGATGCGGTTTCTCGACTCAAGGAATGGGTAAAGGACATTGTCTAATAGAAAAAATATTCCGAGCGCGGATGGCGCGAACTTTTGAAGGGCCGGTAGGAGGCCCGTTCTCACGGTGAGATTACTTTATTAGGTGAGAAACACTTGGGTCCCCTTTGTGCTGTTGAGTTCTTACTTATTTCTTTCTTCTTTGCAGGTCTTTCCAAGGATGTCGCCATGAGGCCTCCATCTGGTGATGAGGATAGCCGTCGAGTCCCGTGCTCCGATGGAGGCTGGTGCGTAAATCCAAGGAAAGCACCAGCGCTCGAGAGCTCCGATCGGACTCAATCCACCTGCTGAGGGATGAGTCCGAAGAAGAATAAGAAGAAGAAGAAGAAAATACGAACTGGTGGCCCGCATGCTAGGCAACATCGTATTGCCTCAAACCAGGGGGTTGTTGAGGAGGCAGCAGTCGAGGCCTCCGAACTAGAGAGGGGCGAGGTCAATTTGCCCCAAGTTGGGGAGGCCGATAAAGAGGCTGCGGCTGACGCTCCTCGGGCAGAGGATAATACCCTGAAGGATGTACTCGGAGTGATAGATCTCTCTGAGTCACCCTCGTTTACCGACTCCATGATACACGATGCCTAGAGGCTAAAAGGATGCCCAAGTGAGGGGCCCCAAGGGGTGGTAGACTCCTTCCAAAACTTCTTCGAGGGTTTAGACTCTACCGCTCCAGAAGATGTCACCGGGTTGGGTGACTTACCGCTACCAAAGAATAGTCCGTCTTCAGGGACCAGCGGGCCTTCTTCGAGCCCGAAACTAGTAACCGATTCCCAGCTCCAAGTGTAGATCCTGACCGAAAGCGGTCAACTATTATGTCTATTCCGGAGGATGCCCGGTCCTCTCTGCCACCGTGGGGGTTGCAAGTTATCTTTAGTGCCTAGTGACCGAAGAGGATTAAGCAAAGATGAATGAGGTAGAAGCACCCTGCCTCTTGAACGAAGCCCAACAGGTGTTAAACTGGGTAACTTCGAATGCCTTTTTCATTATGTACTTAGATTAAGCCACAAAGAATCATAACCCTTTCCTTGGTGTTTGTAGGCCTCGGTGCTCCATCACGAAACCTTTCTCCGATACCGAGAAATATTAAACCACCACAAGGCCGAGGCCTAGACCCGGGAGCTCATCGAGAAGAGGGATGCTTACAAGCTTCTCGGTGAGCAACATGAGGGGGAGGTCAAGAAACTCCAATATGAGCTGGAGGCAGCCCGAAAGGAGCATGCTAACATGGTTGAGCAGGTAAGAATAGTCTTTGAGGATAGTGACGAAGAGTCAGATACAGTGGCTAATGGCCTGAACCCGCAGGTCCAACAAAAGCTTGAACAGATCGAACAGCTTCAGGCAGAGGTAGATGCGGTAAAGGCTGAGGCAGAAGAATGGAAAAAGAACATGGACCGCCTGGCCTCAGAAAATGAGATCGTCCGGGCCCAGCTGGCTTCGACTGAGGTCCAGCTCCGAGGTATAAAAGAGAAGTCCTTGGCGCATGCCAAGAAGATCGAGGAGCTCCAGTCCCAGTTGAATTGGTCGTCTCTGATCGAGAAAACCTGGCCATGGAGCTTGAAGTGGTCAAGTCGGAGGCTAAAGTAATTAAGGTCGATGCCGATGAGATGATGGGCGTTTATAATACTGATGCCGAGGCGACTCGGGTTCGAGCAAAAGACATTATCGAGCATGCTAAGTGGAAATCTCGAAATGAGGCCCTTGAGGAAATTCATGCTCGGGGTTTCGACTTATCAGTTGAGATTGAGAGCGCCAAAGAGCTCGAAGCCGAGGCCAAAAAATTGTCATATCCCAAAGAGACGGGAGCCCGAAGACTTGGGCGAGTCAGAGGATGGTGAAGATCCCGAGGGTGACGATATTTCCCCCGACGAAGACTAGGCCACTTAGGCCTTTAGATGTTTTTTGTTTTTTTGTATTTTTGTTAAGGCCGTTCGGCCTTTGCAAAAATTTTCATCGGGCTGTTTGGCCCTTGTAAAAAGATTTTTTGATTATGAATATAAGGCTTTTTCCCTTCAATAGCTTTAGACTTTCACTTTGCCTTATGTACTTTTATTTGCAAAGATCTAAATGCCTTATCATGAAATAGTTAGGTTTTGTTCAGTAACTCGAAGAAACCTTGCCTTCAACTTTATTTCATTTTAAGGCATCGTGGGGGTTCAGTGTGACCGAAAGTTTTTCTTTCCCCCAAGTACTTATACTATTTTTTTTATGTCACAGTCTGTCGAGGGTAGCCTTTAGAACTAGTTTAGAAATTTCAAGGCCTTGTTGTCTTTGTTACGGGACCTTGGACGTCTCCGAGCCATTTTAATTTGGCCGTGGCCTTTTTAGTTCGGGTGTCGCCCAGTGGGTCGCTTCGAGTTATCCGGGCTTGCCTAGGATAACATCACCCGAGTGGGGATGGCCGTGGCCTTTAAGATTCGGGCGTTTCCTGATAGGTCTTATGCCCCCGAGTTCCGACAGCCCGGACCACCCGAGTTTATTTTCGGACGATAGTCCCGAGTGAGAGTGATTGTTCGAACTCGGATTGTGGTGTCCCTTGGGCTCGATACCTTTAGGTGATCGGATGTAGGAAATTCCTTGAGAAATGCAAGAAATTTTTTTAAAAGGACAGAATATTTGTCCGCAAGAGACTTCTTTTTATTCTTGTGTAAAACAGCTATACATGCGTACATGCTTTATGCTAGGGCTCGAGCAATCTAAGCGGGCACAGTTTGTTTGACCGTTTGGCCCTTACGATAAA